TATACCAGCACAGATTATTCTGTGTCTCCAAGTGAGATACCATGCTCCCTAAAAGAGGTCAGAGAGTTCACCAAGGTGTTTGTACCAATTGCCTACTCCTTAATATGTGTTTTTGGCCTCCTGGGCAATATTATGGTGGTGATGACCTTTGTGTTCTACAAGAAAGCCAGGTCCATGACTGATGTCTACCTGTTGAACATGGCCATCACGGACATACTCTTTGTCCTCACCCTACCGTTCTGGGCAGTTACTCATGCCACCGACACTTGGGTTTTTAGCAACGCCCTGTGTAAACTGATGAAAGGCACATATGCGGTCAACTTTAACTGTGGGATGCTGCTCCTGGCCTGTATCAGCATGGACCGGTACATTGCCATCGTCCAGGCAACCAAATCTTTCCGGGTACGCTCCAGAACACTGACACATAGTAAGGTCATCTGTCTGGCAGTGTGGTTCATTTCCGTCATCATCTCGAGCCCCACTTTTATCTTCAACAAGAAATACACGGTGCAGGATCGTGAGGTCTGCGAGCCACGGTACGAGTCCGTCTCGGAGCCCATCACGTGGAAACTGCTGGGTATGGGACTGGAGCTGTTCTTCGGCTTCTTCATTCCTTTGCTGTTTATGGTGTTCTGCTATCTGTTCATTATTAAGACCTTGGTGCAGGCCCAGAACTCCAAGAGGCACAGAGCCATCCGAGTCGTGATCGCAGTGGTTTTCGTGTTCCTGACTTCTCAGATCCCCCACAACATGGTCCTCCTCGTGACTGCGGTCAACATGGGCAAAGTGGGCCGGAGCTGCAGCACCGAGAAAGTCCTTGCCTACACCAGGAATGTGGCCGAGGTCCTGGCTTTCCTACACTGCTGCCTCAACCCTGTGTTGTACGCATTTATTGGACAGAAATTCAGAAGCTACTTCATGAAGATCATGAAGGATGTGTGGTGTATGAGAAGGAAGAACAAGGTGCCTGGCTTCCTCTGTGCCCGGATTTACTCAGAAAGCTATGTCTCCAGGCAGACCAGTGAGACTGTGGAAAATGATAACGCGTCGTCCTTCACCATGTAACATGAGAGCACAAAGCTATATGCCCCGAAAGCCTTTGTGAAACTTGCTATTATATATGGAAAACAAAAAAAAACCAAAAAAAAACAAAGAAAGAAAGAAAAAGAAAAAGCGATGCCCACATATGTACAGTTAACTACGGAAATTCAGCAAAGACTTCCTGTGAGATCAGACCCAGGGAAGTAGCACTCTCAGCTGAGTTCTCCCAGGTGTGGTTGACAAGAAACATTGTAGCTCCTCCTGGGTTGGTGTTCCACAAAATAAGATGTGGGGAGTGCTAGATTACTGCCAAGTGCTTATGAACGTAAACATGTTCAGAAACGTCCATGAAGGGGATCACAGATCTAGTGACCCCCAGCACCCGTAGCACAAAACAAGGCTGTAACTTGAGAAGCCAACAAAAGCCCCCCTGTAACTCATGTGAAGCCGACAGCAAGTCAAAGATCCTGTACCGGTTCCCTTTTATCTTTTCAGCAAGCACTAGGCTGTGGAGGAGGAAGGCAAGGGCAAGCATCCACAAACTGGAACATCAAACTGGGCGGAGGGGGGCAGGGACCAAGTAGGAAGTGGGGTGCCTTGGCTTGCTACTGGCCTGTGAGCTTGCTTCCACAGATGGAAGCAGACCTTTGTGGTTCCCTTTTCCCCTCTAGGGTAGGTGGAGGCTGAGGAAGCAAGCTGGGATACTGCTCCAGGCCCAGTTCTGGGTTTAGCAGACTCTAGCAGAGTTTAACATTCATCCCGTGGATGGTAAACGTGGCTTGTCTGTAGTTGAAAGTGCTTTTCTTCCAGTTCTGAGACGGAGGTGAAGATCGTGCTCAGCAAGACCTTCAAGTAAGCCCCTGAGCAGTGGGAAGCTGGCCTCTGAGATTAAGTGGATGTTTTGGTTGTTGCTCATTTAAATTGGAAATTGAACGTAGGGTTTTACATAGTGTCCTACAATTGTGCTAGCACTGTGCCTTTTGTACTCCAGTGCCTTTCTGTATCTTTCATTTAGAGAGAGAGATCCACTAAGGTCTCCAGGCAGGTCTTGAACTTGGCAATCTCAGAGCCTTGGCTCTACAAATAGCTAGGATTACAGGCCTGTGCTACTATGTCTGGCTCTCAGACTGGTCTTAAGGTGGCTCTACGCAAAGTCAAATTAGACATAGAGACAGGTTTCAGTGAGTCTTGGCAGAAGCTCATAGCACTCTAGTTCTTAAAGGGCTGCATAAGCAGATGGCAAATGTGTACTGGAGATGGGGAAACGCAAATCACATTACAAAAGTTGCTGATATGAATGTCAAGATACTGACATGTTCTATTCTGATACATGGTTTGGAAGCTGAATGGTTAGTGAGCTGTTGCAATGCCTTTGTTGACATCTATAGTGAGTGAGTGAGTGAGTGAGTGAGTGAGTGAGTGTATGCATATGTGTGTGCATGTGTGAGTGTGTGTGTATGTGTGTGTGTGTGTTTGCTCAAGTTTTGAGGCCAGAGGACAGCCTCCAGTATATTCCTCAGGCTCTGGACTTTTTCTTACAGGGGCAGGGGTGGGTGGGTTGTTTGTTTTTTCTTCTTTTTTAAGACCAAGTCTCTCAGTGCCTCAGAGCTGAATGAGTAAATAGACTGCCAGGCAGGAGGCCTGGGGTGGGGTGGGGGTAGCCCGGTCCACCTACCTCTGCTAGCACTGGGGTTAAAGGCATGCACCACCACCAGGGATTTTTCTTTGTTTTTTGTTTTTGTTGTTGTTGTTACATAGATTCTAGCCACTGAGCTGGTCTTTGTGCTTGCAAGCCGAGTGCTTTGCCGCCTGAACCATCTCCCCAGCCCAGCGTTAGAAACATAACTCTTTGACTTACTCCATTCTTTTCCCACATTAAAATACAAACTTATGTACAAGCCTTAATAATTCCGAGTCTTTTTATTTGTCTTGCTTTAAGAACCCTTAAGATAGAAAATGGGGAACAGACCGCCCCTCTCCCCCTCCTCCCCACCCGTCTTCATGGTGCCCTGGTTTAATTTCTGTTGATGTAATAAAACACCCAGCAGGATCAACAGCAACTTTGGGAAGAAGAGACCTGTTTCAGTTTGCAGTTTTAGGTCGACACCTATTACTGTGGCAGTGAAGGCAGTGGAGGAGAACCACAGCCTCAGTCAGGAGCAGAGGAAGAAGGGTAGACGAAGCCCTGCCGCTCACTGCTTTCTTAGTTTTTACACAGTTCGCCGGTTCGTGAAGTGCTACCACCTACATTCAGGACGGGTCTTCACACCTAACTAACAAGACACCCCCTACACACACACCCTCAAGCCAAACCCATCTAGATAACCCATTACTAATTCTCTGCCCAGGTGATTCTTGGTTCTTTTGGGACTACAGTTAAAATTAACAGGCATACATGGTGTCCCTGGAGCAATTTTAGCATTTTCTCAATGGAAAACACTTTGTTCTAAGGGTGAAATGACTTTGAAATCATTTTGGTTTTAGGTATTAATTATTTTGTTTCTTGTTAGATTACTAGAAAAGAAAGTGGATCACCCTTAGGTGACAGATTCCACCGTCCTATACATGAGCAGGGGTCCCTAAATCTTCCGCTTGCCTCCTGAGCTGCCAGCGGCCCACAGCATTCAGCTCCGGATTTTTTTTTACATCGAGTCTAAGTGTTGACAAAGGCATAGAAGGACAGACTGCCATGCTGAGGCCATAGGCATTTTCTAGCATCCAGAGGTAGAAAGGAACAACCACTGCGTGAAATACAGAGAGGGAGGGGGCAGCCTGCAGGGGAGGGGCGGAGAACAGAGGGAGCTGCTGCTGGGTATCGGGCTAGCTGAGGAACCTGAGCACAGACCACGTCCTGGCCCTGCTCTCCCAACAGCTGACTCAGCACCTTTAGCCATTTATCTACCTGATCCCCTTTCATGACTAGAAACCATGATCTAAGATAAAAGAAAGAGAAGGAAAGAAAGAAAGAAGGAAGGAAAGAAAGAAAGAAAGAAAGACGCTGTAAGCCTGAGGCAGGAGGATCATCAGTAGTTCAAAGTCAACCTATGCAACACAGAGACTCAATATCAAAATATAACAGCAAAACAATAAAACTAAAAATTACTCGTCATTCTTCTACTCTGATCCTAAGACCTTTGTGGGCTGTGATGAGGTCAGGGATGTTTTCTGGAGCGCCCCCTGGAGGCTGCATAGACCTATGGAGGGGTCTTCCGAGCCACATCACCAGGGACTGGTGCTGTGCTGTGGGGTCCTGAACTCCACAAACCATCTGCTGCCGAGGTGGCTCTGCAGCCCTTGATGTCTTCATGCCACAGGGACCAGCGACACCTGCCACACTCTCCTGTGGGCTGCCAGCTGCCACGCTTGTCCATGGGAGTGTTCCCTCTTTCAGTCAGAGACCACTCTGTAGTCAGGGTTCGTTCTCCCCGTTGCCCTGAGGAAGGCTGTTCCAGAGCCTACAGCATCAGCTCCATGTCTGTTAGGGTCCTTTGGGTACACATAACAGAAATGCCCCGGAGTGGAGCAGAAGAGGGGCCACTCCAGAGTACAGCGGCTGTGGTAGACAGGCCCAAGAGCAGCAGAAAGCCTGTAACAGGAGCGCTGGGTAGTCTCCATTTCTCTGGTGAATTCTGTGGTGGGAAGGGCCACAGCAAGGCTGGGGTGGTACTGCCCTCTGGGGTTCCAGGTGACCCCCCCCCGTCTCAGACACCACCCTATCTCTGGTAGGACACATCCTCAGGGTCCCATCCCAGATATCACAGCATTCTGGGAAATTTTCAGGATAAAGAGATGGAGACAGCGGAAAGGGCACAGGGTTGCTAACTTTAACAGCAGATTCCTTAGAGTTTTCTAGCAGAGCAGGGGCAAACGCCATCTCTCCTGTAGACCGCCAGCTCTCACCCTCTGTCAACGGCTGCAAGCAGGTGACATTCGGTCTCTGCTCTGGCACCCGTGTCCTCTGGTGAGAGAAAGGCAGAACAGCTGTGGAACAGTGCACAGTCTGTGCTGGACAGCGCTGGCAGAGCACAGGGGCGAGGCACCTCGCATGGAGGGGGAGGTCAAGTCTGTGGGAATGACTGCTGGTGAGGAGAGTGAGAAGCAGGGACTGAGGAAATGGGGACTCCAAGCAGACACTCCATCCAGAACACACAGGCGGCCTGCTGAGCCTTCAGAGTAGGGCAGAGAGCAGCAGGGGCGTTGGACAGACTCATGTCCTGCCCCTCCTGTTAGCTCACAGGTCCTCTGAACTCCAGTACTCAGGCCTAAAACTCAAGGCACACGACCCAGCGAGTAGATCTTGCTACTCTACGTGCCATCGAAGCCTCTCCATCTCCCTTCTGGCCTCCCTCACAACTGCCCAAACACGAGTCAGTCAAGAAGTCATATCAGCCCTTACCAGTAGCTAGCTTCCTGATGTCAAGCATGCAGGCTCGGTCCTGTGGTATAGGTCTTATCCTCTGCAACAGAAGAGATTCTGTCAAAGCAGGAAGCCTGCTTTGTTTCCTGATGCTGATGGGTCTTCTAACCTCCTTTAGGATCTAAGCCAGTAATTCTCCCTTAATAACCCAGAACTAAAGGGATTTGAAGACTCTCTGCCTTGAGGACCGCCTTTATGCTATTCACAGTGTCTGTCTTTCCCAATGGTCTTCAACTTCACAGCCTCCTGTGGCCATGAGCCTAAAGCTCCCCTAATAAAAGAAATCTCCTGAAAGGCAACTCATCTCAGCTTCCCTTTTCCATGAACTTTATTGTCTCAGGTTTGCAAAATGACTCAGATATGTGATCACAGTCACACCAACTCATGAAATGGTGGAGAATTCTCTCCCACAGGACTGCAGGGCAGGGCATCCAAGAGGATGATGGGAAATGCTTCGGGGGTCCACTGGGACCTGGAGCCAGAAAAAGGAGCAGTTTGGAGATTTGAGCTACTCTGTGAGGTCTTCATGCAGCGGCCCCATCAACACACATGAGTACCCTCTCCTCAACATCCATCCCCCAGACGGCCCTGACTCAGGCTGAGCATGTGCCTCACCAACTGTCACACGTGTGCCTTCTCTGCCTCTCAACAGCCAACAGAGAGAAGCAACAGATAGATGAAAAGACATCGTCAAATGCTAATGACACCCAGCACAGTTAACCAGAGGACAGAAACTGAGAGAGAAAACAGGTGACATCATCGAATCAGAAACTTACAGCAGAAACCACCTGAGAAGCTGAGGCAGTTGGCTGGTGCTCCCACTGGAGGCCTTTCTCTCCATGGATGAGTGCCCTGCTTCTTGTCCCCTCTGCAGGCATTTTCTTGTTAAGATTTATTTATTTTATATATGAGTACACTGTCGCTATCTTCAGACATGCCAGGAGAGGGCATCGGATCGGATGGTTGTGAGCCACCATGTGGCTGTCAGGGAATTAAACTCAA